ATGTAGCCAAGGATGAGCTTGACTCTCTAGACCTGCTGCCTCCACCTCAGAGTGCTGGACTGATTAGAGACACATTCTACCGTGTCCCTTCGTTGTCTTCTTTTTCTTCTAAGATTTATTTATTTATTATATATACAGTGTTCTGCCTGCATGTACACCTGTACACCAGAAGAGGGCACCAGATCTCACTATAGATGGTTGGGAGCCACCATGTGGTTGCTGGGAATTGAACTCAGGACCTTTGGAAGAACAGCCAGTGTTCTTAACCTCTGAGCCCCTTTTTTTTGGTTTTTTGTTTTTTGTTTTTTTTTTGTTTTTGAGACAGGGTTCCTCTGTGTGGCCTTGGCTGTCCTGGCGCTCTCTCTGTACACCAGGCTGGCCAGGAACTCACAGATATCCACCTGACCTGCCTCTGCCTTCTGAGTGCTGGGATTACAGGTGTGCTCCACCATGCCCAGCCTCTTCTTCTTCTTCTTTTTTTTTTTTTTTAATGTATTTTATTTAAACTTTTTATGAGTGTGAGTGCTTTTCCTGGGTGTATTTAAGTACACTTGTTCATGTCATGCTGGAAGAGGGTGTAGGCACCTCTAAAACTGAACTGCGGACACTTGTGCAGGCACAAGAGTACTGGGACCTGAATTCTGCATGTGTTTTTACCTTTGTGCCACCTTGCCAGCCCCCCTTTTTTGAAATAGGGTTTCTTGTAGCTCAGGCTGGCCTAGCCTGGAACTCAACTCTGTAGCAGATTAAGGGTGTCCATCACCACACCTGGCGACCTTGACTTTTAATCTTCCCGACTCCACCTGGGGTTACACATATGCCCTGCGACACCCAGTTTGCTGTGGTGTTGGGAATCAAACCCTGGACTTCACTTGTGCTAGACAAGCCTTCCATCAACTGAACTGTATCTCCTTCCCTTTCAACCTCAAGTTTCTTCTGCAACCTTTCCTATCACTTACCCCTGACCCTGCTCCTTGGCCCAGTTGCCTGAACAGTCAAGCCTAGCCTCTTCGCCTACTGCTGTGATCCCATGTGTGTCCACTTGACACGTTATCTGCATAGAGACAGCATGATCTCATGAATTCTTCTGAGCTCCTTAGGCAGCAGGAACACATGGTGCACAGATAGACATGCAAGCAAAGCATTCATACCGTACAGAGTAAGTAAATCTTAAAAAGGATAAAAATAAATCTAGCCAGGTGGTGGTGGTGGCCCATGCCTATAATCCTAGCACTTGGGAGGCTGAAGCAGATGAATCTCCGTGAGTTTGAGGCTAGCCTGGTCTATATCACCAGTTCCAGGGCAGCCAGGGCTAGTGAGACCCTGCTTAAAACAAAACAAAACAAAACAAGCAATATAAATGATTATGAGGTCAAGAGAAGAAGATATGGTAGGCGCTCCCCAAATCCATGAGACCAGCACTCCAGTCTTGAGATGGGCTTGTGTGTCCCACAAGGCAGCCCTAAAAAGTAGCCAGGTAACCAGGCCCTATGCCTGGGGCATCCCATTTTGGGGGCTGGCTGGGTGTATGCTGTCTAAAGCCAAGTTTATTGAATGAATGCACTTGTTTTGTTTTGTTTTGTTGAGACATGGTTTCTCTGTGTAGCTCTAGCTGTTCTGGAACCCTGAGATCTGCCTGCCTCTGCCTCCCAAGTGCTGGGACTAAAGGTGTGAGCCACCACCACCCAGATGAATACACTTTTTGATGACAGAAGTGGGCTTGGGAGGGGCTGGGAAGGTTGGGGTCTGCGACTCTGAGTGTCTCAGAGAGACAAGGATTAGGATGAGCAGTTCCTGATTAGTGCACCAAGCTCTGTTTCCCTCGGAGCTTTGTCTGTAGGAAACGGATTAAGAGCAGTTAAGAGCATTGTCTGCTCTTCCAGAGGTCCTGAGTTCAAGTCCCAGCAGCCACATGGTGGCTCTTACCATCTCCAGTAGGATCTGATGCCCCCTTCTGACACACAGGTATGCATGCAGATAGAGCACTCATACATAAAATAAATAAATCTTAAAAAAAGAAAACATAAAAACAAACCAAATATAAAGAGATATCATCTGAGGACACCCGAGACTGTCCTCTAAAGCTGGGCACAGTAGCACACTCCTGTAATCCCAGTACTCGGGGAGGCAGGGGCAGACAGATCTCTGTGAGTTTGAGGCCAGCCTGGTCTATAGGGTGAGCTCCAGGACAGCCAGGGCTACACAGAGACCCTGTCTCGAAAAAAAACAAAACAAAACAAACAAAAGAGATTGTCTTCTGGTCTCCACAGGAACACACAGATGCACCTTTACATTTTGCAAGCCCTCCCCGAAGGAGCACACACTCGCCCACGGGGCCCACAGGGCCGTTGTGTCTGGTTTCTTGCTGCTGTGTGTTTGCATAGATACCGCTGGAGTGCTTCCTGTGAGCCCCATCAGGATAGTTGACCAAGACATTAAGTTGCTCTACCCTCAAACCGTAAGCGCTAGTTCCAGGCTCCAGAGCCTGGGGTGCCAAATGCCTGACATCCTAAGGAAGGACGGCCCCTCCCATTCTCCTGGTAACGGAGAAAGGGATCGGTGTTTCCTGTTTTCGTGCCCCTGTCCTGGCCGTGTTTTCTGGGTCCCGCAAGGAATAGAGCAGAGGGCAGGCGGTCTCCATGGTTACTGGGGCCGAGTTTCCTTATCTTGCAAAAAGCCAAGGGAGACCCGAGGGCTGCGAGTCTCTGGGAGGGAGAAGGAAGTCCCTAAACAACTCTCCGTCGCCCTCTAGTGGCCGCTCGCTGCTAACAACCTTATCTTTGCTCCCGGGCAAACCTTATCCTTGCTCCTTTGTCTTTGTTTTATTTTTTTACTTTTTCCCCCTTTCCTTCGTTTACTGATTCAATAAAGACTTCAACGGTAACGTGCCACACGCCTTTAACCCCGGCACTGAGGAGGCTGAGACATTCAGATCTCTGAATTTGAGGCCAGTCTCGTCTACAGAGCAAGTTCCAGTACAGCCAGGGCTACATAGAAAAACCCTGACTCAAACAAACAAACAAATAACTAGCTGGGGTGCATTTCCTGTTTTCTGTGGCTGTTTCGTCTGGCAATCAGGCAGGATGAAGGTCTCTGTGCTTTCAACAAAATTGTGGTAGGGGCCGTTGAGATGGCGCAGCGGGGAAAGGCTTGATAACCTGAATTTGGTTCTGGAACCCTGTACGGGTGGAAGCAGAGAACCAGCTCCACAGAGCTTTTCCTCTGGCCCCGCATGCACTGTGGCATGTCCCATCATACACATACAAATGAAATTTACAGATGGGAAAGGAGGGGTTGCCTTTGCAGAGGACTGGGGTTTAAGCCCCGCAACCTTTTGGTGGCGCACAACCATTCTAACTCCAGTTTCGGGACACCTGACCTCCGCGGGCGCAAAGTCTGTGGTGCACGCACAAACACCCTCACGCCGGGAACACAACAGAAGCTTAAAGAAACGGAGACCCGGCCCGCCGGAAGCAGTTTACCGGGCGGAAGCTTAGCCGTAGAAATGGTGAAGGGCTCTCTTCCGGTCCCTTTGGCCTGGGTGGCAGAAGCAAGGTGACGAAAGAGCGTCGTCCTTTGAAAGCGTCCCGGTGGACGCGCACGTTGGGCCGCCGCTGCGGCTCTAAGGCCGACCCCCTTAGAGGTCGACCTGGGCAAATGTGGCTACCCTGCCAAGCACAAGAGGAGTGTAACCGGAGTGCCAAGGCTAAGAGGCGAACCACCGCCGGGACCGCTCGGAGGAGGCACCTGGAAATTGCCTATCGCAGGTTCAGGCATGGAGTCCGGGAAGGAGCACCACCTAGGCCCAAGAGGGCAGCTGTTGCAGCCAGGTCCTCTTGAGGATTTCAGTCGGTCATAAAGTAAATGCTCTGGTTTCAAAGGAAAAAAAGAATAAAAAGAAAGAAAAATAGTAGGAGATAAGCCCGAGAGAGAGGTTTGCTTGTTTGCTTTGAGACAGCGTCTCTTTGTAGTCCTGGCTGTCCTGAAACTCACTGTGTAGCCCAGGCTGGCCTCAAACTCATAAAGATATGCCTGCTTCTACCTTGTAAGTGCTGGCCTTTAAAAGCATGCCCAGCCCATGTGTGTGATTGTTTTGTTTTGTTTTGTTTTGTTTTGTTTTGTTGACAGGGCTTTTCTGTGTAAAAGAGCCCTGGCTGTCCTGGACTCAATTTGCAGACTAGGCTGGCCTCAAATTCACAGAGACCCACCTGCCTCTGCTTCCCTAGTGGTGGGATTAAAGGCCTGCCCCACCACCGGGCTGTGATTTTATTATTATTTATTTTTTTTTTGTCTTTCTTTTTTGTGACAGAGTTTCTCTGTGTAGCCTTGACTATCCTGGGACTCACTCTGTAGACCAGGCTGGCTCCAAACTCTGAGACTGTCTCTGCCTCCCGAGCGCTGGGATCAGAGGTGCGCGCCACCAGCTGGCTGTAATTTGTTTTAAAAGGTAGCCTTGCCACATAACCCCCAAATTGGCTTCCCACCCTCACTGCTCCTGTCCTTGCCTTCGGAGAGCAGGGACTGTAGGCCTGCACCCCTCACCTAGCTGGACCAATGTTCTTGATTAGGGGTCCTTGAAACCCTTCAGTGTCTGAGACGCAGCAAGACCTCCCTGGCAAGTGTGGGCAAGGCTGTTCTGCCAAGAAGCAGGCTCTCCACTCCCCCACGGTTCCCAAATGCTTGACTCCACACCCGGGTACAGTCTGGGAAGTCAGCTCCATTGGTAAAGTGCCTGCTGAGGTCCTGAGTTCGGGTCATGTAAAAGCCAGGTATCTGCAACACCAGTGCTGGGGGTGTGGGTGGGCAAGCAGACGCAGGAGGGTGCTGGGCGCTCCATGGCCAGTCGGTCTAGCCATGTGGGCTGCAGAGTCCTCGAGAGACCTTGACTCAGATTAGGGTAGAAAAGCTTAAACAGGAAAGACACAGCGTTGGCCTTCGTCTCACACCGACACAGGGATGCTCAACACACTACGTTTGAGACAAAGAAAAGAGAAACAGGAAGAAGAGGAATAGGAGGAAAAAGCCCTATAGGGCATGGTGGTCTGTGACTGGAGTCCCAGAAATCGGGAGCCAGAGGCAGATGATTACAAAGAGTTCCAGTCTAGTCTGGTCTACCAGGCTGGTCAGGATCACTCTGTGTCAAATAAACAAACATGGGCTAGCAGGATGGCGCACCTGGGAAGGCACTTGTCTCAGAAGCCTGGTGGCTGGCGCTGGCTGCCGTAAAGGTGGAGAGGGCGTTGACTCGGAGGGTGGTTGCCCTCCGACTTCCACATGCATGCAGGCAAATGCACTGCCTCACATTTTGCACACGCCACCCGATCAGTGTAGGGGGAGAGGGTTCAAGACAGGCTTTCTCTGTGTGACAGAATCCTGGCTGTCCTGGAACTCACTCTGCAGACCAGGCTGGCCTTGAACTCAGAGGTGGAGTGCCTCTGCCTGCTGAGTGCTGGGTTTGAAGGCATGCACTGCCACGCCACCATCACACACAGTACATTTTAACAAACAGGTCACCGGGCCTCCAGGCTGGAAGGAAGTCCCCTTGGTTCCATCTTCCTCCCCATTTGAGGTTCAGAAGGCTATGCCGTCTCTTGCTCAGAGGCAGGAGGCTGGACATGATGGGACCTGGTTCCTTGATGCTACCTCATCTCACTTCAGGAGGAATGTGAACCTCACTCAGTCCCCCAAGGGAAGGACCCCAGTCCTCTTCCCCAATGGTGGCAGTCACAGAGCCCAGTCTCAGCCTGTCTCCTGGGCACCTAGTGTATTTATTACACTCCATTTGTTTTCCCGCACTGCGGAGAAAGAGGGAAGGGGAAACAGAGAGGGTGGGAACCCGGATCAGACCCCAGACTCCTCCCCCACCAGAGCCCAGGGCATCTGCCCTATCGGGCCAAGGAAGACTTTGAGATCCCTGAGGGCCCCAGCGGGGTGGAGGGGTGGGGCTGGGTGCCGCAGAAGAGGGCTGGAGGGGGACCACCGTTTCCCCGTCATGCTCCAGGCTGAGAGCTTTGGCTGGAACCTGCCACCCCGGCCTGAAAGCCTTGACCAAGCCTGCCCCATCAAAGCCTGGTAGCAAGGTCTCCCTTGGGCAGGCTCTGAGGTGCACTGCATGTTAGCCTATGCTCATGACCATGAGTTATCATATCATTTGGCCCATGACCCCGACAGCAGCTGGTATCTGTCTCCCAGTATCCTCTGACCTGCTTGGTCATCTGACTGCACTGTTTGGGCCCATGCTAAAAAAAAAAAAAAAAAAAAAAAAAAAAAGAAATTCCTCCGTTTTCTACCCGTGTTCCTTTTTATCGTCTGACCTGAATCCCCAGTCTCTCTCTCTTACTTTTGAGACAGGGTCTCCTGTATCCCAGGCTGGATTCAAACTCACCATGTAGCCTCAGATGACCTTGAACTCCTGGTCCTCCTGCCTCTACCTCCAGAGTGCTGGGATTCCAGGCGTGCACCAGCATGCTGTGTTATGCTGTGTTTGGGATGGAACCCAGGGCTTCATGCATGCTAGGCAAGCACTCTACCAACTGAGCCACATCCCCAGTCCCTGAATCCCCCCTCTGACTTCAGGTTAGACACAGGTGTGGTGTTTGCTGCCTCTTGTGCTGATGAAGGCCTGGATGGTGTAGCCTTGATGTGAGGGCAATGAAGAGAGATGAGGCCAAGTGTGAACCTCTCATCCTGCCTGGCAATGCACCAGGAGTTAGGTCCTTCCTTCCCTCTTAGATCTGGCTTGCCCTACCAGTTTCAGATCCGCCCAGTGGGAGACAGAGAAAGAGGAGGGGAAGGTCCCAGGCCTGGCACCTTCCAAGCTGTGCAGGGGTCCACTGAGCTCAAGTGAGGTGACAGCCAATAGTGGACTCTTGGGCCCCAGGCTGGTGAGCTGGCCTCAAGCAGAAGAAGGGCATGGTGACCTGGTCCCTGTGTTCGCAAAGGCTCTTTGTTTCCTGGACAAGGTGAGTGGGCAGGGCGTGGGAGTGGGCACACTTTAGGGACAGGGCAATTTGATTCCTCCTTGTAGGTGGGACACCTACCCTAGGAGAAGCTCTACCCTAGCCCACCTGCCCACGCGCCGTCCCCCCACCCATGACCTGTGTAGCAGTATGGGGTACAGACCCCTCCTCCCCAGGTCTCAGGGCCCCAGCCCTCCTTATGCCAGGGCCTTCCAACCCCAGCTGGGTCCGTCCAGGCTTAGAAGCCCCCACTCTCAGAGCTGCTCCGGCTGTGGTAGCTGGGACTGCGGCTCCTGGAGGCGCTGCAGGAGCGGCTGCGAGTCTCATGGCTGCGGCTGCTGTAGCTCCCGTGGCTGTGGCCCGGGCTTGGGCTCCTGCTGTGGCTCCGGCTTGAGTAGTCACTGCTCAAGCAGCTGGAGGAGGAGGAGGGGCTGGGCCGGTAGTAGGGGATGGGACGCTTTCGGGCACTGTAGGAGAGAAAAAATAGATCCTAGCTCACCCGGAGCCCCCAGCTCTGCCCATGGGGCTCTCACTCAGGTCTCAGGCCCCATCCCAGCAGTGGCAGGGGCCTCCTGCCTAAGTTTCCCCAGTCTTAGCTCAGGGACATCCCCACTTCTGTGTCCTTTGACAAAATCTTGTTTTGTTTTTTGTTCTTCCTTGTCTGCCTGCAGGGCAAAAAAGCCCAAATTCTCTGCCTGCCCCACCCAACCCTACTCCAAGACAGGGTTTCTCTGTGTAGCCCTGGCTGTCCTGGAACTCTATTTGTATATTAAGCTGGCTGCGAACTCAGAGATCTGTCTCTGCCTGAGTGCTAGGGTTAAAGGTGTGTACTACCACGCCTGGCTAGGGGGTTGTTTTTGTTTTTGTTTTGTTTTGTTTATTTATTGAGGCAAGGTTTCTCTGTGTATCCCAAGCTGCCCTGGAACTCACTCTGTAGACCAGGCTGAAATTTTATTTTTAAGGCTACTCAAAGGGAATAAGAAGGAGACCCCTGGCCACTGCTGTCTGTTTCAGCTTAGTCCTCTCTCCCACTCTACCCCCACTGGTTACTCAGCTACCTCCCGCTGGCCCGGAGTTAGTTTGAAGTCAGGAGGCTATGACCCAGAGAAAAGAAAAGAACGTGGTTAAGGGGGTTATAATGCCCCGTCACAAGGTTAATTCTGAGGAAGAAAAACAGGTGTGCATTAGTGGGAGGAGGAGGCAGCCGGGGGACAGAGGGGCTGAGGTGGGTGCCTGGTGGAAGATGTGAGATTCTGGCCATTTTGGGACCCTCAGTGTATACCTGGGGTGTGTAATGTGTCTGAGGTGGGGAGCTATCTCTAGGGTGTGGTCTGGTCTTTAACTCTGAGTAAAGGAGGAGGCCATATTGCATTCTTGGAGACCCAGATTATCAAGAACTAATGCAATAGTTCACAACCTGTGGGTTGTAACCCCTTTGGGGGTCAGAAGACCCTTTCACAGAGGCCACAGATCAGATATCCTGCATATCAGATGTTTACATTATGATTCAAAACACTAGCAAAATAGTAGTTACGAAGTAGCAACAAAATAATTTTATGGTTGGGGATCACCACGCCATGAGGAACTGTATTAAAGGGTTGGAGGGTTACAAAGGTTGAGAACCACTGGCCTAAAGAAAACTAATTTGAGAATCAAGAGTGTGTTGGAGTTAAAGATAAGATTCTTATGGATTTCAGTTAATTATACACATCTGGCCACTGAGGTTCAAAGAGACACAACAGTCTCTCCCAGGTGACTTTGCAGGACAATATGGGACTCAGAACTCTGCCAGTGGCAATCTATTCATAATCCTGGGCTCCAGGGCGATGTTTTTAATTTGTTGGTACTAGGGATTGAATCTAGACCCTCACACATAGTAAGCAGATGCTGACCATGTAGCCAGGTCTCCAGTTACTCACCAGATCATTCTATGCATGTGCTCTTCCACTGAGCCACATCTCAGCCCCTCACTGGGGAATTCTAGGCAGGTGCTCTCCCACTGAGCCATATCTCAGCCCCTTACTGGGGAATTCTAGGCAGGAGCTCTACCACTGAGCCATATCTCAGTCCCTCACTGGGGAATTCTAGGCAGGGGCTCTACTACTGAGCCACACCCCCAGCCCCTCACTGGGGGATTCTAGACAAACATTCTACCGGTGTTTTTATTTTGAGGCAAGGTCTTGCTAGGCTGGCCTTGAAACTTCCACGCCCTCTCCTTCAGTCTACCTAGAAGTTGGGATGAGAGGCCTGAGCCAACAGTCCCAGCTTTTGGATGATTTCATCTGCAGACCCCTCTAGTCTTGCATCAAATCAGCCACACCTTATTCTGCATGGGGTTCCTCAGACAGCTGCCCCTCAGGCAGACTTGGATGCTCTGCCCCTCCCCCGATTCCCCAGGGTGCTGAGAGGTTAGTGAGAAAAGGAGACGGGAAAGCTGACCACCACCAGACTAGCTCACATGGGCATCGTTTAGGCTGCCTGTGGAGGCCGGTCCACACGGCCCCCAGGCTGGCCACAGGCCACGCTGCAGGGTGTTCCTTGAGATGAAGGAGAGAAGTTCAGGTCACTGAGGGTGTGGCAGACACGACGAGGGAAGGAGGAGCTCCAGGTGGGTGAATGGCATCTCCCAGAGCTGAACTCCATGCCTGTGGCTGGCCAAAGCACAGACCAGCTCGGGTGCATTGCACCTTCTCCCGCCCAGGATCGCCTTCGTCTTCACTCTGCTACCCTCATCTCTTCCCAACTCTTCGATGACCCCCCCCCCCCCAGTTCCTCTTCACCCAATCCATCCCTCCTTTAGCGGGGGCCTTGGCAAAACCCTCCCTTTCCCCCAGGATCAGAATGGGTCCATTCTAGAAGGACCCCAGTTGTGTGAACCGCGACTCCCTGACATCCCTGGCCACCAGCGAGAGCCGGCAGCTCTGGTCCCGCCTCGCCCCCCAGTCCCCTCTGTACCTGGTGATGCGTCTCGGCTCCATGAAGCTGGGCGAGTCTCGGCGCCGCTTTCGGATCGGGGAGTAGCTGCGGGAGCGGCGCCGGGTGCGGGCGGCCTCCGCCTCGGCATGCCTCACGCGGCCTTCGCTGTCCTTGTCCCTGCGGGACCCGCTCGTATGAGCGATCCCCGCCCTCGGCGCCCCAAGGTCGGGCCTGCGTCCAACCGCCCCTTCCTTCCCGCCGCCCGACCCCCGTGGGGACCCCGGGACACTCACCGGCCGACGGGTTTCTTGGGCGACGGAGAGAGGCTGGGGCTGCGGGCTCTTTTGTCGGGGGAGCGAGAGCGGGATTTGGAGGGCGAGCGGCTGGAGCTCCAGGACCCGGGGTGCGGGCCGGGGCTGCGCGAGGAGCTGTTCCCCTCCGGGCCGCCCCGCCGGCCGTGCGCGCCCGGGGATGGCGAGGTGCTGGCGGGGCGCGCGCGCGGGGGTCGCTCCTTCGCCCTGCAGGAGGGAGCGCGGGTCAGGGCTCGGGGTGAGCCGAGGGCGGGGGAGGGGCACAGGCTGGGGGGAGCAGAGCTGGGGGGGGGCAGGAGGGGTCCCTGAGCTCAGCCTGGAGGAGACAGGCCGGCCGAGGACGAATTAGGGTCCACGTGGGGTGATGAACCAGCGGGGGCTCCGCTGGAACGCTGAGAGGGGCCCCGTGCGGAGGCATCGGTAAGGGGCTGTTTGTGGGGGGCAGTGAAGGGTCCCCCCGGGGCGTCAGTGAGGGGTCCCCCTGGGGCGGTCCGGGAAGGGTACGCCCGTGCCCGCAGCGGGGCTCACCGCTTGCCGTGCCCGCCGTGGCCTCGCTCGGTGCCGGGCTCGGGTCCGGGGCCTGGGGTGCCGCCGCCCGACTCGCTGCTGGAGTGCGCGGCGCTGAGCGAGCGGGACGAGCCCCGGGGCGGCGCGGGCTTCGCGCGCCGGCGGCCCCTGCGGCGGGGCGCGTTGGCCGAGGACCGCG